TTTCTCCCTCTCTTCCTCCCGCTTTGTCTGAAGATAAATGCAAAAATATCCTCAGGTGAGGATAAAAAAAGTTCAAAGTTCAAAATAGCCAGGTCTTTCTTCCTTCACCCCATCGAGTCAATTGTCATAGAAACCCCTTTTAGCAAAGGTATGTCCCAGCTTTTGCATCATTTAGGCTTCAGTTGCAGATAACAAAATTAGAGGAGCTATTTTAAACAGAATGGGATATAATTTCGGAAATTGGGTGCTAAAATCATTGATAGGGTTATAGAAGTAGGCCCCAGGCTAGGCTTCAGAACAGTCCCCCAGAAATGGCCCAGCAAGTGAGCTGCCCTCTGCCCCCATAGGGAAACTGGGAAGCTGCTGGGTTAACTTCTGCTCCAGGGTCACACTGCTTTAACCTTGGTGTTGAGATCATAAAACTAGCCGAGCTTTCGGTGCTGGAACCATTTTGTGCTCCTTGCACCGCAGCAGCAAAGTGAGTGCCTCACACCCTATTCTCGCCTAACCCTGTGTAAGACACGTCTGAATGTAGGTCTTAACCTCTGATGGGAGAAGTAAATCACACGGGAGTCTTAGAAATACGATGTCTGGATTTCTAATCTTTACATTTAGGAAAGTGAACTAGAAGGACGTTGGAAAGGATGCTGAACAAACTGTAATCGGAGACGACAGAATCCTCTTGAGTGAGCTAGTTTAAAGAGAAAGAAATGTATTACAGGGTGTTGGAAGGCTAACAGAACCTCCAGCAGTTTCCAGGGATCACAGCCAGGACTTGTGAAGCCAAGAGCAGTGTCTGACCCCACTGTGGCAGTGTCTTGCAGAAACCCACTACAAAGACTGCCGCCTCTGCCACCAGTCTTCTTCTTTCGGCTCCACTTTGACTCTGTCGATAAATGCCACGTCTCAAGGGTCTTTTCTTCGAACATTTCACTTCTTACCAATTTTTGTATTAGTGCTTTTGATTATGGGCGAGAGAAATGGTCTTCATCTAGTTTAGAATAAAGAATAAATGTATAGGTTATATTAGTCAGAGTTCTTAGTTGCTAAGCACAGACTTCATTATATCTAATATAAACAGAAAGGAATAGAGCATATTAAGTTCTCATAGAATCTCTGGAAAGACTAGAGAACTAGGCTTGGATGCTATACTTTCAGGAACAGTGGAAACACCCATGCCCTCTGCTGCTTGGCGTCCATGATTTCAAGCTTCGGTTGAAGAACGGTCAACAGAAATGGCCCAGAAGAACATGGTATCTCAACCACTGTTCTTGCCAAACGATTCAATCTCCCTGCATGCAGCCTCATTTTGATGTTGCCCACTTCTGTTTCTGAATGTCATTCAGCTTAGCTAACCTAGCCCATTAGCCTGCCCCTTTGTTCACAGGTATCTGGGGGAAGATTCAGTTTAGAGCTTCAAGGAAGATAAGCTAAAAGTGGTCTGGAAGTGGATGCATAGTATGTACTACCACCCACTTTTTTGGCTACTCATCATCCAGCCTTGCTTTCTGTACCTGTTTCCTTCCGAACATCAACTTTTAAACAATAGTAATTATTCCCTAGTCATTGGAAAATGTGGTACCATTTCTTCAAAGGGGAGGCCCAAATTTACTGCCACAGAATTCATCTCTGGTTGATGTTTAGTGGTCCTCTGGTTTTAGTCACAACCCAGTCTTCATAGCCTGTAGTTTCTACATTAAACTATAATGCTAAAACCAACAACAACAGACCTTATAAAATATAGAAGGGGAATTAGGGTGCAGAAGGAAAATAATTATTCCAAGCAAGGAAGGAAAAAAGATGGCTTTCTTAGTCTTCTTTTCTCTGTTTCTGAAACTCATCCTGAGGCCTTCAAAATCGATTTCTGCCACTATTCTTCTCCCCTCAGTACCTTTAGTAACCAGAATTCTTTTTTTTTTTTTTTTTTTTATCCTCACCCGAGGACACTTTTCCATTTTTTGTACAGATAGAGTGGGAGGGAAAGAGAGGAAGGGAGAGAGAGAGAGAAACATCGACGTGAAGGGACACATCGAGTGGCTGCCACCCGCACGACCAACCAGGGCCGGGGACAAACTGCAACCGAAGTACGTGCCCTTAGCGGGAACCGAACCCGGGTCTCTCCGGACCGCAGGCCGACGCTCTAACCGCTGAGCCAAACCGGCCAGGGCGTAACCAGAATTCTTAATTTGGAGGGCTACCCAAGCCTTCATTCTTGAGAGTTAGAAGCCCTGGTTAGAAGCAGTTTTTTGTGGGAATAAGTCTTTCATATGTCTGGGTGGTATTGCTAGCTAATATATTATAGGCAAAAAAGGCAAACCATATTCAGAATAATAGTCTGTTCAATGAGAACAGATGGCTGATATTCCATGATGCTGAGAGTTTAATGTAACTGACATGTTACCAGGAATGATGCTGTGTTGGAGGCCCCGTGTTCTCTGTTCCTTGCAGATTGGACACCTGGAGTTATCGGATCAGATTTGGTTAGAGGATGTCCATGTGGTGGCACCCATGTGTAATCTCTGTCTCTTTGCCTCTGTGTCCACTCTGTTTATGTATTCTTTGAGTAATCATTGGTGTGGTTAGGAAAGGGGCTGATTGATTGTCATAAAGGAGACAGCCTTTCCACCTGATATTAATGAAAATATTGTCTGCAGAGGGAGCCTGTGAGTGCGCATGAGGACACAAGTATTCGCACACTCAGGCCCATCCCGGTTGTCTGTCCCACAAACCTCTGTTCTAAGCCTCATTGTTACTAATGTTCTCATCTGATTCATTTCAGTCCCTGATCATTATGACAAGTAAGTAATCACTGCCCATGAATGGTATGGATTGGTACTTTTGGCCATCTCTCCTTCAAATCAAAATAGCAATCAGATGTTTAATGTTCCACCCTCCAAAAGGATCTCCCTTCTTCACTCTGCTTCAAAACCACTGCTGCTTGGGCTGAAATGCAGTAACAGGGTAGTTCTTGTCGGTGCCAGTATGTCACGTGAAGCCATCTGCCACCATCACATTTTTCCCTCCTAGACTGATGTGTCATAGGGAATTTCCATGAAGCCATAAGTGGGGTTTGAGGGAGAAATGATACTGCCCCGGGAGTAGACATACCGGGGCATATTACTTGTGCGATCATGACCTACTCTTCTTGATGAGGGAGTGGTGGTACTGGCATGCCTGATTAGGACATGGTGGTTTACCCTGAGGTCAGGTCTGGCTCCTGATGGAGTTCAGGTTATATGGTCCCTTGGTTTCCTTTTCTCGGGCTTCCAGGTAGTTGTCTGTCAGGCGGTAATTTCTCAAAAGAAGAATTGTTAGGAGATAAGGAGGTTTTAGGTTGTTTAAAACCCTAGGGGACTATGCCAGTGGCTATCCTATGAGGTCTTACCTTATGAGGTCATGTCATAAGCTCCTTAAACCATCCCTCAGACCCTTTCGGTTCCATTAGATTGCTTGTTGGGTTGTAGAAAACTGCTTTCGTTGCAATGCAGTGCTAGTGACTGAGCAGATTCGATCCTGCAAAGAGACTACATTTGTAACTGCTGTTGGAGTTGTCACCCAGGTAGACTTCAAACAAGTTCCTTTTCCTAAACTCCATTTGTTTTCTCTTCAGACCAAGTAGGTGAGTTAAAAGTGGAGGTGATAGGAATGGCAAGGAAGTTTCACATGTGGGTCACAAGCTGCAGTGCAGCCTGGGAAGTACTCTTTTTTATTTTTCTCTTTGACTTTAAATACTTTTTATTTTTCAATTACAGTTGACATACAATATTATATTAGTTTCAGGTGAATAACCCAGTGATTAGACATTATATAAGTTACCAAGTTTGGGAAGTACTGTTTTAACTCTCTGACTGATGGTGCATCAGGGACAGCTGGATGGGAGTCAGAGAGAGTGCTGATTCACCTGTCTGTAAAATCTGCTACTATAGCCTGGCCCATGTGGCTCAATGGTGAGCTTTGACCCATGCTCCAAGAGGTCACCAGTTCGATTCCCAGTCAGGACACTTGCTCAGATTGTGGGCCCGATCCCCAGTGGGGGGCATGCAGGAGGCAGGAGGTGGCCAATTGATCTTCTCGCTCATCGATGTTTCTGTCTCCCTCTCCCTCTCTCTCTCTCAAATCAATAAAGGAAAAAAAGGCCTTTGTTAAAAAATAAAATAAAAATAAAGTACTTAAAAAAAATCTACTACAGCTAAAAGTTGTGAATGTTATCAGTCATTTTGTTTAAATTTGACCTGCCCTGATTTGCATCTTGGATGACTAACAGAATCTTCCTTTACAGAGGAACATATTGAGTATAGTCTTTGGTTGTGGGTCTCATTAGTGCTCATTTGGCCATTTTTGAATAATGAAAAATAACAAAGGCAAGCTTTCTATTTTTCTAGTATGAACCACACTTGGCTATGTTTTCCTTCGGAGATTTAAGTTTTAATTTTATTTACAACAAAAATAGATCAAAATAGAGCCAATTTTAAAAGGATGGAAAGTATGCCAGAGACCACATGACACTGTGCTGAATCTATTTCAGTATCATTTCTAAAATTTGTATTCAACCCTATCTATATAGCCTGAGAACAGCTTTTCTGGGTAAGCAATAAAATAGTATCAGTCATAAGGTTTATTATGATTTTTAACAAAACGGGACATAGAAATGGAATGTGTTGTATTAGTCTCTAACAATATAACTTGTTCGGGATCCGCTTTGCTGAGAATTACTTTCAGTTTTTGTAAACTGAATGAATTTCCATGTGGATATTGGCCTCTTTCTTTCTTTCTTTCTTTCTTTCTTTCTTTCTTTCATTCATTCATTCATTCATTCATTCATTCATTCATGTTTATTTTTTCCATCACCATTTTTTCCCTCTATGCCCTCTTCCACCCCCACCAACCCCTTCCACCCCACAACCACTGCACTGTTGTCCACATCCATGCCTCATTATTTTAAAGAAGTGGTTTTAAAGGAAAACGGTTGTTTTGCATTATCATGTTAAATATTTTTTCAGCTCCCTTGGAAATCATTGACTAGCATCATTGAATATTATTACATGTGGAAAACTACTGACAGATACGTGCAGCAGGTAATTTTTTATATCATTACCAATATGATTACATTAAAGTGAACTTTCTGTTTCTATTTTAATATTTCTTAGCTATATACTTAATTTTAAATTTGTTTGCTTTATCTTTTCTAGACTATTTTAAACTGCATGATTTCATATCCTTAAGATACTATTTTAAAATTTTAGTCTTAATGTATATATTTTTTACTTCAGAATGTATTATGATAGCTATTTTGTAAAGACACCAGGGAAAGGCCCCACCAGAGAGGCATGTTTCCCTTGCAGGTGCCTGGGCTTCATTTCTTCGTGAGTATACCTGAGGAAGGAGCTGAGAGGTGACGTTAGCACACACCTTTTGAACAACTTATGTATACACATTGAAAATTTAGACTGATGCCATCAACTGTACAGTTTGAGATGTTTTCAAAGATATTCTGAAACCTCGCTATATGACATTTGTGTGGGTATAGCTCCCAAAATCTTTTACCGTAACTGTAAAGTTAGTCTTACTAGTTAGATGCTTTGGTACTGTACATCAATTTTTATTCAAAATTATTTCTAGAAGCAAAGAATCATTTGTTTTTTACTTTTCCCACATGCCCCAAATTGAGATCATTCTCTCAGTTACTTATTTGAGCAGTATTTCCCGGGCACAAGCACGCTTTCCTGGTGACCGCAGTCAGTACTTGTTTTATGTTCTTCTAGTTACATGTCAGGACTGGTAAAGAAAGAGGCAAGTGTATTTAACACAGACATTATTTTTCCTAAGTATGCTATTGCACAGTGGCAAGTGTTGGATGCTGTAAAAATACATTTTAAGGATCACTTTAAAAATTACCATAGCGAGTTGTTGAGATCATGAATGGTGTATAGCCAGCCACCCATGGCTTGTTGAAACATTTCCAGTGTCAACATCATATATAATTCAAAAAGTGCTTATTTCAAACAACATAGGTAGGTAGAAATGAAGACCATGTGTTCTGAAAACTGTTACTCAAAGCAAAAGAAGTTCCTAAAGATGGTGGAAATCATGGAATCAAGGGTGGTTGAAAATATTTGGATAAAATTATTTTCAGAAATTTCAACTCCGTCCCTAAAAGTCTTAAGTTGTCCCCCCTAAATGTTTTTATTTCCTCCTTATTGAGAAAATGAGGAGAAATATTTTAGTTTGTCTTATTTTTGGATATCTACCATATATTATTTTCCTTCCCTATTTGCATTCATTGTGATGTTGCTCAGTCTCTTGATTTGACTATATAATCTTTTTCCCATTCCTTTTTCTGCATTTGACTCCTAATTGGTTCCTAAAATCTGATGTGAGTTCAGCCAAGCTTTAAAGTATACTGCATACCTCCCAGCATTTGAGGGTAAATGCTTATTTAATTGTACTTAGAATAGTTACTATCTCTTTCTTTTGCATGGACTTTGAAAACTAATCACCTCTGAATATTTTTCTAAAAGTAAAGATATGTGTGTTTTTTCTCCCAGAAAAACAAAAAAAGAAGTAAGGTAGAAAATAAATTTGAAAAGTAAAAGTAGTTCCTTACAAGTCTTCTTTATTCACTCCTGTTGGGGACGGAGTTGTTCATTCCTTTATTTTTAAAATCTATGTCTAAAATGTTATTAATACTTACAGTTCTGTATCTCAGAAACTTATGACTTTTCTTAGAAATTACTGCAGCTTATATGCACATCTTAAAATGGTGATTTTTGAATTACGCTTCAATATATCATTTTCTTGTGAATTTTTAAAAACAATATAGTGGTAATAATTACTAAGCATTATATGTAAAATATTTTATCTATCTTTTGAATTAGAAACGTCTAAAAGCAGCAGAAGCTGAGAGTAAACTGAAACAAGTATATATCCCAACTTAGTAAGTAATGGAAACCTTTTAAAGTATTGGCCATGGTATTAATTTTATCAAAACAAAAAATGTTATTTTGGTTCATTTCTTTGTATATCTTATTTCCTTCTACAAAGCATGAGACTTGCTTCCCATTGTACTACTACAGTGATATTTTTAGAGAGAAAAATGGCTGGTGGGAAAAATACCAGCTAGACAACAAAAGGACTAGAGAAAGGATGGCCCTGTATTGTTCTTCTGTCATAGCTGCAGGGAAAGTGTCAGGAAATTAGCCTATTATTTGAAGGAAATGTGTTCCAGAAAGCTACCAACTTAGGAAACTTGTATGTAGTAGAGTGGATTTTGTTTGGGTAATGCGCATTGCTCTTTTGAGGTATGTTGTTTATTTGGTTGATAATTTTATATTATTTGCTTGGGGAAGGGATAGGGAAAGTAATCAGAATCAGACTTTGTAAATGTTGGGTAAATAATGAATAGCTTTTGGTTATTTTGGCTTAGCATTCTATCATTGCTTCTCTTTGGACACAGACATTATTGTTATAGCAAAATGGATGCCAGCTTTCTTTTTATATGATATATTTTAAGTAAATTATAATCTTTTTCTTGAGATCTTTAGAGTTTGATAGTTTATTCAGGAAAATTTAGTTTATCGAGCTACACACATACACACACACACACACACACACACACACACACACACACACACAGTTTGTATATATTCTAAGTATTGCTCCAAGAGTTTTCTCATTCTATGAGCTCAATACAGTTGTTTTCTACTTAGCCTTTTGGTTTATTGAATTTTGATACATCAAGACAGTTTTTATATAGGAGGCCTCATAGAAAATGAATTGTAATATTTCTTGCTAATCTTTTTTTTTAATCTTCACCCAAGGGTATGCCCTCCTTGATTTTTGAGAGAGAGAAAGAGATAGAGACATCAATCAGTTGCCTCTTGTACGCACCCTGCCCAGGGATTGAACCTGCAACACAGGTATGTGCCCTGACTGGGAATCGAACCCAAGATCTTTCAGTGTGCAGGACAGCGCTCCAGTCAACTGAGCCACACTAGCCAGGGATTCTTACTAATCGTTTTTTTTATCCTCACCTAAGGACATTTTTTAATTTTTTTTGTTCAGATAGAGCGGGAGGAAGAGAGAGAGAGAGAGAAACATTGACGTAAAAGGGACACATTGAGTGGTTGCCACCCGCACGACCCAACCAGGGCTGGGGACAAACTGCAACCAAGGTACATGCCCTTAGAGGACACTGAACCCCGGTCTCTCGGGACCAAAGGCCAACGCTCTAACCGCTGAGCCAAACCAGCCAGGGCCTTACTAATCTTTTATCTCAAGGCAGATTACATGTAATTTACAGGGTCCATAATTTTTATTCAGAGCTATAATATTTATTCTGCAGAGTGGGTTCTAGTATTTTTGAAAATTACATATTTTACTTGACTGATTTACAAAAGAATAACTCCCCAAAGAAAATACTGTTGTGATTCATGTATCTTAGATTTTCAAAAGCAAGCATACCGGCTTTCTTGGACTTTACAGTGTTGTCACATAAAAGGAAAACTATGTTTAACCAGTTTCACCAAGTAACCCAGATAATTGTTTCTATTCTGTTTTGCATTGATTTGGAGTCTTGATCTAAGCTTAAAACCAGCAGACTATAGCCAGGGGGCCAAATCTGGCCTCTTACCTCTTTTTATAAGTATTATTGGCACACAGCATGTTCATGTGTTGTCTGTGTCGGCTTTTGTGCTACAATTGCAGAGCTTAGTGGTTATGACAGAATTATTATATCCTCAAAGCCTAAAATATTTACGGTGCCAAACACCTAATCTAAGTGAATGATTTTTGGAGCTCAAGACAGAGTTTTGAAAAACTCTTACATCGTACATTTTTAAAAACGTTATATAAGTCATATACATAAGTAGAATATATGAAGCTGCATTATTGAATTGGGTAAGAATCTGAGTTCTTTGACGAATTTCCCAGTTAACTTTGAAATTGGATATTTAAAGACAAATACTAGATTAAGAATTATTTCATGTTGTCATTCTTTTGAGCCTGGCAGTCTCCCATGTGCAGAGCACCAAAGGTAGAAGGTTAAGAAGACAGAGAACGTTGTAGTATGGGGGAGACAGATACCAAACAGCTGGTCACCCTGTGGGACAAACACTAAGATGGAGAAGAGCTCCTATGTGGCTGCTATGGTAGGCACAGGCCAGGAGTTCGTCTAGCTGATGAAGAGTGGAAATGGATTTTAAACAAGGAAGTGTTATGGTCAAATTTGTACTTTAAGACTGCAATATTTTGGAGAATGGTTTGGGGAAGTAAGTAAGAGTGGATGTGTGGAGACCAGTTGTGAAGTTCTTGAAGAGGAAAGATGATAGGAGATTGACCTAGAGTTGTGGCCCTGGAAATGGTGCTGTGCTTGGAGGTTGCTGACTTATATGGAGTTGTGGAGGGCAGATGTCAAAGTGGAGTCCCAGGTTTCTGGTCAGCACAACTAGGTGGAATGATGTGCTATTCGCCAAGCTAAGAAACTGGCAGAGAGCCAGGTTAGGTCATTTTGAGTTTATTGTGTCCACAGGAGGTGTTGACTGTATTGTCGGATATATTGGTTTAAAGCTCAGGGGAATGTTCTGGGCTAGAGATACAAATTTGAGATTCATCAGCATGTAGTATTGTGTTTTCAACCATGGAAGAGATTTCTTAGGAGGAGCGATAGGAAAACAGTGTCTTGGACCAAGCTTGAGGAAATCCAGTATTTATATGTCAGATAGAGTATAAAAGCTAAAAAAAAAAGGGTATAACAAGGTGAGCGTATTGTTATGATCAAAGCCAAGAGAGGAGTCTGTTTCAAGGAGGGAAAGAGATTAACTGTCAGATATCATCAGTGATCTTTAATGTAGTGGTAAAGACTGCTATGAGCCAAGGTACTGCAGACACTGAAGATTCGCAGCTCTCAAGAAACCTGGCTGGAAAGGGCTGTTGAGAGAGAGTTCTTGGCTTTGAGGAGTAGTTTGGGATAGAGAAACGGGAGCATTTTTATTTATTTATTTTATCCTTACCCAAGGACATTTTTCCATTTTTTGTTCAGATAGAGTGGGGAGGGAGAGAGAGAGAGAGAGAGAGAGAGAAACATCGACGTGAAAGGGACACATCGAGTGGCTGCCACCCACACAACCCAACCAGGGCCGGGGACAAACTGCAACCAAGGCACATGCCCCCAGCGGGAACCAAACCCGGGTCTCTCTGGACCGCAGGCCGACACTCTACCGCTGAGCCAAACTGGCCAGGGCGGGAGCATTTTTAAAATAGAAGAAATACATTACATGTTCATGAGGAGGGTCGAGGAAAGAGAACCCAGCGTGCAAAGTTCTCAAGAGGGCAAGAGGGGTAGAATCTTGAGCACAGATTTGGGGAGGAAGGGATCAGGCATTAGATAAAAGAAGGGCATTTTTATATCATGTGACTTTAAAACCTTTTTCATATGATTGTCTTAGAGTAAAAGTATTCAGATGGTCACATTGACATCAGTCATTCGTCCCCTGGGAATTAATCTGTAGGTGCTTGGTTTTGCAAAACATAGTTTAAGTGATGCACATGTCTGTGTTCAGCCTTGCCACACTTGTTTTCCTTTTGTAATTACAGTGTTACTCAGTCAAGTATCGTTTTAGATTCAGGTGAAGAACTAAAGTGTTTACTCTTATTCTTTTTTTCAGGTGGCTCAACTATAAATTTGTATTAATCTTTATATTTATTTATTTAAAAAAAATTTTCCCTATCACCATTTATCTTCTCTATGCCCTCTTCCTGTATTATTAGCTTTTTTCCCCAACACATATATTTAGCCCTGGGTTAAATGTCAGAAATTTTCATATTTTGGGGAATTCATTTAATTTCAAGGGACCACCATGTCTATCTATAGTAGATTTAAATAAACAGAAATATTATTATATCCCTTGGAAATCTTAGTCTTTCTAAATCACCGCTTTTTGTTTTGTTACATTTCCAAATGAAAACTGTAAGAGAAATACATGCTTTCTGACTTAAAATGTATTTTAAAAAAATTTTTATATGGCTCTGGCCGGTTTGGCTCAGCAGTTAGTCTTGGTTCAATTCTGGTCAAGGGCACCTACCATGGTTTTGGTTCGGTCCCCGGCCCTGGTTGGAGTCGCGTGGGAGGCAACCAATTGATGTGTCTCTCTCATATTGATTTCTCTCTTTCTCTCTCTCCCTCCCTCCTTCCCAATCTATCTGAAGATAAATGGAGAAATATCCTCGGGTGAGGGTTAAAAAAAAATTTTTTTATATGTTTCTATTGATTGGGGGGGGGGGGCGGAGAGAAACGTCGATGTGTGAGATACATTGATTGGCTGCCTCCTGCACATTCCCTACTGGGGATCCAGCCCAAAACCCTGGCATGTGCCCTGACTGGGAATCAGACCGGGACTTCTCAGTCCATGGGGTAATGCCAATCCACTGAGCCACACCAGCTGAGCTAAAATGTGCTTTCAAAACCAATTTGTCTTCGAAACACATTGCTGGCACAGGTTAGAAATGTAAAATAATATTTGTGTATAGAATAGGGACCTCAGAGTACTCAGCAGTTAAAATGATTTCATCTGGGGGTGTCACCAAGTGTTACAGTAACAATCCAGTGTCTTTGTTGGACAAAGGCTTTTGTACAGTCCCTCCAGAGTCAGCAGGACAGGGACAGGGCTTTCCTCCGAACACAGCACATTATCTTGGCTTCATTTATATGATTCATAAAAGTATTTTATTTTCCCAGGAGAATTTGTGAGAGCTGATACAGCTTAATAACTTGTATTTTTCAAAAGCATCAGAGGGTGTCCTAAGGAAATTGTATTTGTGTGGAGAAGAGAGATGACTATTTATTTTGTGAGTGTCAGCATAAGAGATTGGTTTGTATACAGCCTTGTTTTGTAAAGATGAATGGTTGGGGTTCACTTTTACCAGTGTATTTCCTCTTCAACAAGCATTTAGATTTATTTATGTGTAGTTCAGATAAATCAGTAATGAAATGTAGAGCCTTTGCCGTGTTTGTACACGTCATTTTTATGACCTCACTTTACATTTCATTGAAAGCAGCAAACCGAATCCCAACCAAATATCCACCAGCAATGGCAAACCTGGTGCTGTGAATGGAGCTGTGGGAACCACGTTCCAGCCCCAGAATCCCCTTTTAGGGCGAGCCTGTGAGAGCTGCTACGGTAAGTTTCCTCCCTCAGGGCTCATTTTCTCATTTGAGGCCTGTCTTCAGTGAAGTGCGTGGAACTGTACTGGCACTGTGGGTGGGCAGTACATGCGGTCAGTACTGCTCAGAGGACAGAATAACATAGCCTTCGAGTGAAGAGGTGCCCATCCTTACCTTCTGCCTGGACAGTATTTAAGTGTTGGGCTTCCTGTCATTTGCTTTTGTAGGGTCCTGTGTCTGTTGAGTATCCACAGCATTATTAACTAATTAAGCTGCATTATTAACTAAATAAGCTTTGTGCAAGCCATGGTCCCATGAAATATACCAAATCCCCTTTTTGGAGTTTCTCAGTATACTTTGACAAATTAAAGGATCAAATAATTCTGTAAGAAAGACCTGAGTGTGGGTAAACTGCTGTTTATAGTCCTCAGACCAGATTCCCTCAGAGCACTAGTTTGAGAGGTGCTGCTCTGTGGCATTTGCTTTTGGCCCCAGGGTCCCAATTTATTCATCTATGTCAAAAATCAGCCAGAGGCTGGTAGTAGTATTATATTTATTGGGTTGGTGAGATAAATTGTTACATAGTTGATATACTTTTTATGTTTATTCAAAACCTCAAATAACAATATAATCTCTTAATAGAGTATTGGTGACATTATCATCCATGTTTCTTACCAACCAAAGTGTGCTGGAATGGGAGTGGGGGAAAAACTAATGTTTATTACAAGTCTACTTGGTGCCTAGTTTTTGTCTCACAGCAGTTCTTTGAGGGTAGGTGGAGCCTGCTGCCCTAAGGACATGAACGGGGGCGTTTGTGATCATATTCCACACCAGATTTCAGCCTTAGAAAAGGCTCTTAAAACCAAATCATATCATTGCTCTCCTGAAACCAAGGAAGGTGTGAGCTACACAGATTGATTACTTCATAGAAATGGTTCATGTCTAACCATTTTCTACACCATAGGAGCACAAGGAGAAATAGTTTGTGGAAAATTAGCTTCTTTTGGTCAAGAATTTACATGGATTACATCATAAATGTCATTGAACTGGAAATTCTTAGATTTCCAAGTGCATTTATATTTAAATAAAAATAAAAGGAATCCTGGAGATAAATGATAGTGACTTAATCTGTCTTATTTTTTATTTACAAATCTCTTTATACATATATAATCTCACGTATCCCTTTAATTAATTATTCAGTCATTTTTATGTGTGCATGACAAATGAGCAGTTTTACTTTTATAATATTTATTTTTGGTTCCTATTTTAATTTCTATCATAAGATATCTTAATATAATATACATATAAAATATATAATTATAGAAAGAATTTGGTATTTTCTGTGTGTCACTTTTTAATTGAGCATCAATTAATTATGTGTGGAAAAAGACATTTGTTGACTAATATTAAGTGACATGTCTTAGTAAAAATATATACTTAAATATGAGTGAAATTTTATTTTCCAAAATAAAATACTTATTTTCCAGAATAACAACTTCATGCCCAGTATGTAAAATTCTTATAATTTGTGTTTTTAAAATATAGTTTATTTTATAATTTGTTTTTAAATTATAAGAGGAAGGCTTTTAGGCTGCTCCTTACAAGGAGTCCTCCAAAAGTAATACATGATGAATGCACAGTAGTATTCTCAATAAACTAAAGGCAATTTGATCATAATGCTCACTGTATCTTCTTCTTTTTTGATGTTGGTTTATGAAGTGTTAGCTGACTTCTTGCTGTGCTGCTTGAACAACATTTTGATCTGCTGTAACTTGCAAATCAGGGAGGAATATTCCAGGGGAAACTTGCAGAATTATAATAATAATTTTAGGTACCTCATTAACTTAAATGTTTCATTGTCAGTGTTTTCAAACTTCTGATGAGAGGTTACTTTAAATGTTATGTAGCAGCAATTTAAACTGCAGAACAAGATTCATGGGCTTGCAGTATTTAGCTATGTGATAAATCAACCAAGTTATTATTAGGTCTTAACCCTGCTGTGATATTGGCTACATATGCTCACTTGATAGAGACTTTCAGCCTTGAAAGGAATTCTGTTTTCTAAAGGAAGAAATTTAAAATAATTATTTTATCTATTGATTAAAATAAAGGAATGAGAAATAGATACCTGTTTCTGTCACATGCCTGCTTCTGTCAGTGCGGCATCTCTGAGTACTGTAACCAAACCATAGGTTTGGAAAACTGGATTTAGATTTTAAACACTAATAATAAAAATAATAATACCTTTCTGATAACTTACTTCCAAAAATGTACACAATAGAAAATACTTGTAATGAACAAAAACTCCCTCAGCAGTACAACATACAATGTAGGGTATTTCACCTAAATAGCCTCTCTTAAACAGATGCCACAGGCACTTGATATATATGTAGAGAGAGAGAGAGAGATGGTTTTTAATGAATTCTGAGTCTTGAAAACTGTATGTATATATTAGACTTTCATGTTTGGCTTGTAAGGTGGGGGAAGAAAAATAACATTGTAAACTGAAAGTGGTTTTGGAATATTTTTTGAAATATTTGATTTTATATATATTGATATTACAAATTCTGTAGCATTTTTTGTTTTTTTCTTCTTTTTCCTCCATCTTTAGCTACGCAGTCTCATCAGTGGTATTCTTGGGGCCCACCTAATATGCAGTGTAGATTATGTGCAACCTGTTGGCTCTATTGGAAAAAATATGGAGGCCTGAAAATGCCCACCCAGTCAGAAGAAGAGAAGTTATCTCCCAGCCCACCTACAGAGGTACATGAGCAATAGTCTTTTTAGCGTTGAGGATGGTCATGGTTTTCAATGGCTGGATCACTCCTTGAAAACAGAAGTACAGTGTTAGGTAAAAGCAAACAAAGCTATATTTATAGCTGAAAGTAGCGCCACATTATTCGGGGCGGGGGTGGAGAGAGGGGCAGGGACAATTCAAATCTTTCCAGGTGTTCAAAATATTTGTCTTGCGAGAAGATTACTGAGACAAAAGAACAATGTGTGTGGGAGGCCTTAGCATAAGTAGAGAGCTTACAAATTAAATGTTTGTTTTAATTGCTTTTTTGAAAACAGTTTGCAGCCTTTAGATACTCTTGGAAATGTCTTTTTTGCATAAAGTAACAAATTGAAGATTTTTTTTCCATTCCTGGGCTATCACAGGAGGCACAAGAAGGTGTGGACTTAATCTTGAAGTGAACAACAGTTGAAATAGGACTTGGTAAAATTCTCATAACAGATATCAAGCACCCAGGTCTACCAGAGGGAGACTGTTCTATATGAGGGCTAACAGGATCTTAGGAGTCCTTTAATAGTAAAAAAACAACAACAACAAAATAATCTAATTAACCTCTTGGCATATTTTTACTATTGTGAATATAGTTTTGGATTATTAGGGTCAATTTTAAAACACAGATACCCATCCCTGATCCCAAACCCAATTTTGAAACTCTACTTCCCCATCTTCTTTCCAAAAGTACACACTTATTAATTCTGTCCTTTGGGGTAGCATATTAAATTATTCTTCAGTGGAAGATTTAAAAACCGCACTTTTCTTTGAGCATGAGGCAAATGGTACTGCACTCTGACCAGCTGTTGGTGTCTGATCCTGTAGGACCCCCGTGTCAGAAGCCACATGTCTCGTCAAGCCATGCAGGGGATGCCGGTCCGAAATACTGGGAGCCCAAAGTCTGCAGTGAAGACCCGCCAAGCTTTCTTCCTTCACACTACATATTTCACAAAATTTGCTCGTCAGGTCTGCAAAAATACCCTCCGGCTGCGGCAGGCAGCGAGACGGCCGTTTGTTCCTATTAATTATGCTGCCATTAGGGCAGAATGTAAGATGCTTTTAAATTCTTAACCTTATGTGTTGTGCTTCTGACCATTTTCTCTCTTTCCCTCTCTCTCTTTTCTGTTTTGTTTTTGTTTTTGTTTGCAATAAACATAAGTTCTTGTGTACAGCCTTTTATTTGGTTTATTTTTTTTAACATTGTTTTTGTCTGCTGCCATTTGTATCATGCCAACCTGAAAAGAAAACAATGAAACCTCTGCAGTATTTATGAGAGCGTAGTGTTCAGCAAAAGATTGGTGGGAGGCAGTCCTATCCGGTGGGGTTTTAGATGGCATTGCCTACACAGGTCTTAATGAGGCACTTGTACCTGGAAGGTAGTCATGATCTAATCCCAAGGGTGGAGGTGCAGTAAAACACCGTAACTGAGACACGCAGTCAGTCTTACATGAATTCATTAGGTTTGAATAAAATCTGCCACTTTACACTAATTAAAAATTGTATGTCTTTGTAAACCTTGTTTTCCCATGAACCTTTTATAATTATTATACAATATTTTAGAAGTTCACAGTGCTTTATAACAAATGCTAGATTTACTAGAAGATTTGGCAAATTATAAGTGAGTTTTAAAGTCTTTTGGGGTAATTTTCTGAAAATACACTTACAGTTTTTACAAGCTAGTGTCTGAATTTGTGGTTGAGCATTCTTGTCCAATTTGGTTTTCCATTTCATAATCATACATCATATATATTACCACATAACATTCACATGACTTTATTACTCTCATTTGTAATGCATTCATTCTTGCTTATGTTTCGTTTTTTTTTGTTAAAACAAAGGTCATATGTACCAATGAATTATGGATTGTTCTGTTATTACCATGTACCCCTAAATGTGTCCCTAAGTTGTGTGTGAGCTGTGATTCTAGTCATGTTACTTTCAGTCACATTCCTGGCTAAAGGCTAAGAAAACTTGCTGTCTGGCTTAACATAGGAAATCTGAAAGATACTCAGGAGATGCTTTTTCTTTATCAATGAGATAAGAACATTCTTATTACTGGATGTTCCATTTTGATTTAAAGAGGGTATCTATAAAAGGATTAATGATTGAAAAACAATTTGTTCCTAAAGGTAATTTTCAGCAGAACAGGTGAAAGGCTCTAATAACTTATAGGTAAAAGCTTTATAAGAAGAAGAAAAGTGCTTTGTCAGGAGGGTGGAAATGGATAGTCATCTCTGAGTCCGATGGAGGGGAAATGTAGCTACTTTAGATTCTGTATATTTGAGAATTTAGGCTTATGTTGAGGTTTCGTGCCAGCATTTTTGAGTTCATGGATTTATGCTATTTTCACTTTTTGAAATCCATTTCAAGAAACTGGAATATTTATATTCATCGAAATTGCTTAGCTGATTTAAAGCACATCCTTTTACATATACTTTTTAAAATAAAATTAATAATAAAACACTCGAGAATGAAATTCTTCTATTAAAATTGGCTGGGATCCAGGATCATCTTTGCTCCTGTGAATGGGAAGGAAACCATCACCAACTGAACTGGCCACCTGGGGAGGCTTCTGTCTCCCACGCTCTTCTGCGCATTTCTCAGTGAATTTGAAAATTGTCTTTGTTTTGATTATTCTTCAATGAAGTCTATTTTTCTGCCACCTCATTTAAATTTTTCCTTCTCAATCAAAAGGTCATACTGCTTTTAAAAAGTCAAGATTAAGTTACCTGTATTTTATTTCTACAAACATAGATATAGTAATAATAAAAAGAATAGTCATTGGTTGTGATGAGATTCAAGGAAAATTTTATTTTGTATTTAGCTTCATTGGTTGAGTTACATATACAGTTAGACTCAGAATAATTAATTTTACCTTGGGATTTAAAATTACAAAGCTTCAGTAGGCATCTACTCAGTTTTTTTTCCCCCAGACAAGCAAATAGAGAACTCTTTGTAGCATCTAATTGATTCTTCCATCATCTTCTCCCTGTCTACGTGAACCTTATTACAACCTCGTTAGCAGATCCCTTGATCTTGGCTTGTTAGTGAGAAGGTTAGGTGTTAACCTGATGTGTGTAAGCAACCATGTCTCTGGTCCAGTGAGAATATGTAAGTGTATTTTGGGGGGCAAGCTTTTCTTGGTTTCTCAAAGGCAGTGGTGACCCTTTCTCTCCCCTCAAAAAGTTAAGCATGGCTGTGGTACAATATGAACGTTCTTGTGGATCAGACAAAAGATTGTAATTCTAAAGATACTGATTAAGAGATCCAATTAATGCATTTTAGAGTAATTCATCATAATATTAGGAAAGGAAAATAGTTTTTCCTGTGAACTTGAGCACCTTCCTCTTACAGTATAGCACTATAAAAGTTGACGCCTTCAGCAGCACCATCAAAACCAGTATCATAACCCTGGCCAGTGTGGCTCAGCTGGTTGGGCATTGTCCTGTGTATCAAAGGGTTGCCTGTTCAACTCCCCATCACCAGGTTTCAGGCTCGGTTCCCGGTGAGGTGTGCGCAGGAGGCAGCTGATTGATGTTCTCGCCCTTCTCTCTAAAAATCAATAAATTGTTCTTAAAAACAAAAACAGTATCATAACCAGGATTTGTGGGGTGACAGACTGCATATGAATGAAGAAATGGGGAGCTAAGGATATAAACTGAATTAGATGAGGGAGCATACTCATGACTGAGTTCTTGACTTAAAAATGAATCCCTGTTTAGAGGAAATGTTTGGTTGGTTACAGCAGCTCTCACTGTCTTTATTTTCATAAAGAAACCGTATTAGGGACTACAATGTAGTAAACGGGAATCTTTGCATATGTGTGAAGTATTCCAAGGAAAATGTAAGGAGTATCTGTGGTAAGGGAAACAGGCTGGGAAGGAGACTTACCACTCACTGTTCATCCTTTTAGACTTTCTCAATTTTAAACCGTGGGAATATATTTCCTATTTTAAATAACTTAAAAAGCATATAAGAATATATTATGACCAACATATTTAAATATATATGGGAAATTATTTTTAAAAAATTTGTCTTTATTTATTTTAGAGAGAGAGGAAGGGAGAAACATGATTTGCTGCCTCCTGCACACCCCCTACTGGGTATTGAGCCTACAACCTGGGCATGTGCCCTGACTGGGTATCGAACCAGCAAACTCCTGGTGCATGGGACGACGCTCAGCCAGCTGAGCCAGTGGCCAGGGCAGAAAGTGATTTTTTAAAACCAATTTCTCCAAATACCTATACACTTGAATAATATACCTTTATGTGTGACTATATAAGTCCTTGCCATAAATTACATTAGTAGCATACCTGGGCCAATTCTACCATATAGATAGTGCTTATTAAAAATGCATTGATAGATCCAAAACCAAACATTGCATAAAAGGACTGTGTCCTTGACAAGATCTGCAAACTGAAAGCATAGTTGTAACGGCATCAAGGTTCAGATGGTCTAGCCTGTCCCTTCTCCTCCTTGACACCCTTCCCCTCAGTAGAAAAGCCAGGATGTGACAATGGGGTTTCCTTCTTTGCTACTGCCATCAGATATTACTGAGTTATACCAGGTGACTTCGCCAAAGATCAGTAAAATTCCCAATACCTGCTGAGCACAGGGTTACTACTTTTTTCTGTTCGAAGATGCTAATTAAACTTGGAAGTATCCCAAGGCCCCGTATTCATAAGCAATTTGTTTTATATTTACTGAGTTTTTCTAGAGCTGTCTCAGCAGAAGTTATTAATTGTATAAACTTTTGTGAAATTTTAAGCTCTAACATTAGGAGAGAACAATTTGGGTTTCTTTTGGCATTTTTGTAGTAAGATTTGTTTCTGAGTGGATACTTCAAATTTTTTAAAGATACAAAAGTGGTTACAAATCTTGTCACCATTCCCATCCTGCTCTTCGGAGGTAACCACTGTCATCAGTATCCAGAGGTATTCTGGATTACTTCTTAAAAAATGAAATTAGGTTAATTTAAATTAATTTTTTAAAAAACTAAATTAGGTTATTGAACCTAAGAATTTTTAAGTTATTTCCAATTTTAAGTTATTTAACTTATTTTCTATTATAAGAAATACTGCAACAAATATCCCTATATAGGTATTTCATACTGATGTGTGAAGTGTGAATATATCTTACAGGATAGATTCCTAAAAGTAAACCATTTGGGTCAAGGTACATGCATTTTGAATTTTGATAGTTGCTGCCCAGTTACCCTCAGAAAAGTACAATTTGCACTACCACCCACAGTGTCAAGATGCTTGTTTCTCTAAAACCTCACCAGCAGTGTTACCCATCTTTCAAACCCTTGACTAGTTGACAGGTGACATATGAGTTATATTAGCTAGCATTTGTCTTTTTGAGTGAGATAGATATCTTTGCATATATTTGAAAATCATGTGCATTCTTTTTCTGTCAACTGTTTTTGCCTCTAGCCTGTTTTCTATTAGATAAAAGTCTTACTGACTTTTTATGTTTTAAGGAAATTAGCTGTTCATCTGTGATATGTGATGCAAATATTTCTGTTTTGCCTTTGACTTTGTTTATGATGTATTTGCCACAGTTTTTAAAAAACTAGTTGAATTTATCCTTTTTTTAAAAATGGCACCTACGTTTTGAGTCTTATTTAGAAATGCCTCTACAATTAATTCTTAAAAGAAAATTCTGTGTATGGTTTTATTTTGACAGATCTTGAAAGCCCACGTGAGATGTTTTTGTGAATTTTAATTCAGTGTTTACTTTTTGCAGTTTTTTCTATTTCATTTATTCCCCTAATATTTCCAAAGCAGTTTTTTTTTTTTTAAATGGCCATGAGTTGCAATAGAAGTAAGTGTTTTTCTAGGTTTACCTCAAGGAGATGTAGGTCATCCTCTCGGAAGCCAACGAAATGTGCCTTGTGTTCAGTCAAGTAACTTGAATGACATGCAGATGTTCTTCCTGCCTCTGGGCAGATTTTGATTCCTTCTGGGTTCTTTGGACATTTCTCAGATTGCTTTATCTGTGCACTGTTGCACACTAGTGAATGATCTATGTTTAAATAGTTAAGTGAATAATTTGGGAGTGAGGACTGACTGACAAGTGGCACCACTGGCCTGGTCTTGAATACAGACCAAGATTCTATTCAGCTCAGGTGTAGACCTGATAATCCTATGTTTATGATCGTTCCCTCAGGGCAGAATGTATTTTTCCCATTCATATATCACTGAATGGCTGCAATTTTATGTTAAACATTGACTAGGTAGTCTTAGCACCTTCCCTCCCGATTTCTTTATAGTTGAGACTGATAATTCCTATGGGATTAGTGAAATACGGTTCCTTCTAAAGAGCTTTGATCCCTCACTCAGATGCTTTAGAAATTGTCACTTGGAACATCACATAATTACTCCAACTAATTTAATGAGTAATTAAAACCATTAGTTTAAAGTGAAATATCTTTGGGTATTGTGTTGGTGACCCCTTTGATGGATTTGTTGATTCTTGTCGAGGTGGGGGTTACACGGGAGTCCGTCCATTGCAGCCACGTTGGCAGTTTGCCTTTGGGCCTTAGAGACTGGAATAAAGAGCTAAGTTAATTTCATTGCTAGTGATACAGCAATTGCCTTTGTCCAGTACATTGAGGAAATAACCAAGATGATTCAGTCAAGCTTTATTAATAGAAAGCAGAAAATTTTCTCTTGTCCTCATCTCAAATAGAACTTGAATTTCAGATGAATTAAAAATATTAGGAAGGAATTATTATTTAGTATAACTCACAGTGATTTGACAGGTGTTTAATCCTTGCAGGGTTTGGGCTGCTTTTTAATGTTTATTTAGATTACTATTCCAAAATATGCTTATTATATTTCCACCTGTATCTTTATTATTACTTAACAACAGGCAAAAAGCTTCATAGTTTAGTAGCCCCTCCCCCTTCCAAAGGAAATCAACTGAATAGGAGGAAAAGAAATGGACTCATTATAGTTGTTGGTGATTTCATTATAATTAGCCAGTGTTCAGGATACATATTCAGATTCCTATTATTTGAGGATCTCTGTACTATGTACTTTGTGTATTTTAATATTTTTTAAAATGCTATTTTCCCACCTTTTTCTGTTTAATAGTAGTTATTAGGAAAGTTTCCTTGGTGAACAAGAGGGCGAGAGCTTATGAAAGTTAATTTTTAACTTTAAATTATTTGGGGTTCCAGATCAAAGTGTGAGTTTTAATAGTGCAGCAAATTCCTATGGTGTCGAAGGAAATGTCTTGTATGTATGCCTGGAAATGTGGTCTCAGCCCGTGAAAGAACAAATTCTTTAGTTGAATCAAAAAGCCTGTAGGACATTTTGTCCAATACTTGAAGGTGGGGAAAAGGCCAGACATGTATCTGCTAAAGACACTCTGTTAAGCTTTATGACAGTATCTGCAAATTTAAACAACCTCAATATTCATTCTTTGTCCCTTCAAACTCTATTTTTATAGCAACTCTGGTGTGAGAGGCAGCCATGTTCCACATCCACTCTTTGTCCTAATGACAGCTCATTACAGTGCAGAGTGTGTGGCGTCAGCTTTGTTTCTCTCCGTCTGAAATGTCGTATGGTAGGGTATGAGGAGCGTGAGGGGACCGCTTACCAACTAACATCCGTCCTCACAGTGTCTTACGATTATTGGATGAAATACTCTGCATACAGGTGACCTTTTAAATCTCAGCGCTAATGTCATCATGGTGGGATATGAAGGATAAAAAACCAGTGATAAAACCAAATGACCCATTTTTTACCCTGTTAGGCTGTCACCTCATGGAATTGAGTTTCACCAAGCTGAGTGCATCTCCCTCCGTGGAGACCCCTCCGTGGAGGTCAGGGCTGGCCAAGGGGGCGAGTTACCTGTGTCAGCTGTCACTTTTGTCTTCCACGCCAGATTAATCTTACGTTAGGATTGGGTCAGCCTTGTATTTCATGGGAAATTTCCCACTTTGATGTAGAAAAGCCATGACTAGAAAGGAAGCATCTTCCCACTGCTTTTCGGGTGGGCACATGCAGAAAGCGTGTGCCAGACGTGTGTGAGCCGCACTCACGTGGGGCTTTGAAGTGAGTGAGCTCCAGGTAAATCCCTCATCCAGTCATTGGAAACCTTTTGTTTCTGGGGTGTGTGTAGTACAGGGAGAGAAATCGGCCTCATCGCTTGTCTCCGTGTTTCTCTCTCCTCAGATGCAGACAGACATGCCGAGCTCTCTGGAAGTCCGCTGAAAGGCAAAAGCACGAGGAAGCCTTTGGCATGTATCATTGGGTATTTAGGTGCGTATTTTCTAATGGAGGAAAACTCAGCTTCTGTGTCTTATAAGTATTTGGCTATTCTAAATTGCCATACCTCAACTGAATGCAAGCCTTTTAAGTAGCCAAGATCGGATACCTTTGTATGTATAGTCAATTTATTTTGTTTTAGAAACTTTTTGAAATGACCGAAGTACAAACAACACACACAATTATGGATATGTTTACTTTTTCCAAAAAGTCATTTAAGTAAATGTAACATATATTTATGTATATAAATACAGATTAAGTAAAAAATGAAAATAAGAGTTATTAAATTATTAGAGAATGAGTAGTCTTAATATTTTGATTTAGATCCTTCCACTAATGCATCTTCCCCCTTCCCTTAAATAGAGAGAAAAGGATTGGTTTGTGTAGGTTTTTTTAAAAGATAAAACTGATTTTTTTTTCTTTTTTCTAATTCTCACAGGAGGATGTTTTTCTATTTATCTTCAGATAGAGTGGGAGGGAGGGACAGGGTGAGGGAGAGAAACATCAACATGAGAGAGACACATCAATTGGTTGCCTCCCGCATGACCCCCACCAGGGCAGGGGACGAACCGCAACCGAGGGATGTGCCCTTGACCAGAATTGAACCTGCGACTCTGGTCCGCAGGCCAACGCTCTAACTGCTGAGCCAAACCAGTCAGGGCGATAAAACTGATTTTTAACCTATCTTTAAAAAAATTTATGGTTTTGACGTGCCAACTAAGGTTACTTTGAAAGAGACACATTTGTATTGCTTTCTGAAAGTTACCAAAGATGGTGGGTCTATTTAATGTTGAAATATCACAATTAACAATTTTTTAAAATAAAAACTACTGGGTAATAACCTCTTTTGGGGGTGGGTAAAGTTTAAGATAATTTACAAACGAATGGTTCCTACTATACCTAGAAGCAATAATGGCATATTTTTGTGCTTCTAATATTCTTGCCTTTTCATTTTCTCAGTAAAAGTGAAATACGTAGTCAGAGTTTCACTGAAGCGTATTGCTCTGTCAGAATTTATAGGTATGAAGTGTTCAAAGTTTAGACCGCTAGTCTTTTAAAAATCAAAGCATAGCCTTGAGCTTGGTGTACTGTCTGGTCCTCGTCAGAGCATGCAAGGAGTCAGCAGCTCCCAGCTCCCTCTTCGATGTTAGTCTGACACCTTCCTTCTTGTTTTATTCCTCGGGCTTAAGAATTGCTCTGAGAGCCCCTGAAAACATCACATGGTCATCATAGGCATGACCTAGGTCATGGTGGTGAAGTTCTTGGAGTTTGCTATCCGTCTTTCCTTGCAGGACCTAATTCTAGGAACCCCTTCCCACCTGCAAGGCACATTAGTCAGCCTTTCCACAGGTAGTTGTGTATTCCTCCTATGGGCAAACTGGTCTCTGTCCCTACCAGGTATACTTAGAGCAGTGCTTTGATGTTGTTGTTAATCCTCCTGAGGATATTTTTTCATTGATTTTTAGATAGAGTGGAAGGGAGGGATGGGGGAGGGAAAGAGAGAGAGATCAATGTGAGAGAGACACATCGACCAGTTGCCTCCTGCACGACCCCAACTTTGCCAGGAGATGGAACCTGCAACCAGGTACATGCCCTTGACTGGAATTGAACCTGAAACCCTTTGGTCTGCCGGCTGAAGCTCTAACCACTGGGCAATATCAGCCAGGACAAAGCTGTGCCATTTTACTAGCTGAACCACATCCCTACATACCATACTTCTGAGTATTCACTATGTATAAGACACCATACTAAGTGGTTTAGGGAATACCAAGATGAGTAAGACCTTGCCATAGAAAATCTTAGTCTAGTGGGGAGAACACACAGGCTAGGACAGTTAAAGATCCTTTAAAGGAATCACAGGTAACATGCGCTGGGCACTTGGAGTAAGGAGTAGTTATTTCTGATGAGTGTTAGGGCAGCCTACGTGGAGAAAGTAGTATTTGATCTCAGCCTTGAAAGATATATAGGATTTGAAAAACAGGAGAATAATATTTTTTCCCTTATGAGGCCAAGAGAACCAGATAAACAAAGGCTTCAGTGAGTCAAGGACCTGAGAAGTTTAGGGAATGCAGGTTGTCTGGCCTGGATGGAGCATAGAGTGTGGACGTTGTCATTAAAAATGAGGTTAGCGGCCCCGGCCGGTGTGGCTCGGTTGGTTGAGTGTTGTCCTGTGCACAAAAAGGTTGCAGGTTTGATTCGTGGTCAGGGCACATATCTGGGTTGTGGGTTTGATCCCCGGTAGGGGGCATGCAAAAGGCAGCTGATGGATGTTTTGCTCTCACATCTTTGTTTCTCTCTCTCTCCCTCTCCCTTACTCTCTCTAAAAATCAATTTTAAAAAATGTTTTAAATGAGGTTAGCAGACCTTCAATGCCATGTTGGGGGGGAAAAATCAGCACTGTTATTTTGGTTAGTACTTGAGCCATTTGTAAATTTTGGCAAGTGTAAGATTTTGACCAGAAGAAGATGTAGTATTCTAACAATGCTAAAATCTCTTCCTGAATTTCAGTAAATGAGGCTGTTATTCTGGCCCTCACCTGAGAGGATAGAGTGGCTTGTGCATAGTTGGCACACTGGGTGTTGACTCAGAATCAGTGAGCAGGTTTAGCTTTGGAGATGAGGTTGCCCGGTATCAGTACTCAGGTCCTTAAATTCCAGTTTCTATAGTATTGCAATTTCTGTCTATCTACTCTGTCCAAAAAGTGAAGGGTTCTGGGCTGTGTGCCTGACAACAGTGTACTGCACTTAAACACACATGTACCATGTGCACATTACAGTTTTGTGATATATTTCTCAGCCAAAGCTTTTCTTCTGCTTCTTGACGCTAGTGTTTGGAGTTTGGTGTTAGATTTCATGTATAGCATATGTTCTGGGCTGGGTGTGATTGACCTGGTCCTAAACCTTGGTTGCAGAGCCAGGGGAGGAATCCTGTTTTTCAGAAAGCTCTCATGTACCAGATATGGTACTTGCTAAACTTTGGTTTGATAGAATACAGAGGTGGTATTCTCTGAGGCTACTTCTCCAGATAATTTTTGGATTGCTAATTTCTTGAAGAGTCAGATGCCATATTATTCCTAGTAGAGCTTGTATTTAAGTGACCTATATTGGTTTTTTTCTTTTCTTTCTTTCTTTTTTTTTGCTTGTACTAACAACATGAAGCTCAGAACTCCAGCTAGCACGGAAAAACCAGCTCACTTTTGATACAGAAAGCAGTCATGGTAACAACACTTGAAACTGTTTAATTATGCAAGTCCTTGTGAAAACAGGCTGGCTCATAAGAAACTGACTCGCAGCTCATTAAGAATCAGATGTGTGCCTATTAGCCAGAGAAGTTCACACACAGATTTTTAATACCATGTTCTGAGTTGAGAAACCTTTTTTCCCTTTGTCAGAGATCCATCCTTCGAAGAAACCTAATGTAATTCGATCTACACCAAGCCTGCAAACCCCAACTACCAAGCGGATGCTAACCACCCCGAATCACACGTCTCTGAGCATTTTGGGGAAAAGAAACTACAGTCATCACAATGGCCTGGATGGTATGTAAGCCCAGGAATGCAGGGGCTGTTCTGATAGGCCAGGGCCCCTGTCCCCTGGCCAGTTTCAGGCGTCGACTGCCAAACCTAAGAATGGATAACAAATGGGTTCTTCTCCCTGATTGAACTAAACGTGTGTGGTAAAGGGAATAAAAGGGAAGGTGGCCATTTGCAGTGAAGATATTTGCCAGGCGATATTTCTCCATCTCTTCCGGAAGGATATCCGTGCTCTCGTTTCCTCTCAGGAGGCCTGTTTGGAGATGAAGTGTGTATTTAGCAGGTTGCCTCTGCTGGGTGATAATGTTCTTGCTCTGATGCACACTCACTGCTCATTTATATTTTCTTGAGCGGAAGGGATTATTTCGCCTTCTGTCTGAGACAGCAGTGCTCTCTGGGGGTTCTGCAGCCTTCCATGGATTGTTTTGAATTTGGCATTTGTCCCCTACTTCTTTCATCTTATAAATTTTTTTAATTGCTCAAGAGTGCCATAAGTCATGAAAATAATTGTCTGGATGATGGCCTAAATACAGAAATAATGATTTGTTTCGAATGGAAAAACAGAACTGTTACCTCTTATCCAAAGTACTTCTCTTGGGCTTGGCCATATAATGACTTCAGGTGGAAATGAATTATGTTCCCAATGGAACTGTAAATCATTCAGGCAACGTATTTGTTCATTTCACTAGTCTGGAGTTTGAGGCTGCCTTGATTGTTTAAATGCTGGCGTTTATTTATGAATAAAACCCTTTCCAGGCTTTCCACGTCTTATGGAACTCTAAATTCCTTCAGCGACAGCGCATTGTTTATAACGCGGCCCTAGAGCAAGGATGCGAAATAGACCTGGTAATACTGTTCCGTGTTGTTCTTTTTTTCACCATGACTTTTGATGGTCATAGTGATGTCAAAAGGAATAAAAATAAAGGGTGAGGAGTTTAGTTTGCAGTTATAGGCTTATCTGCGTGTTGCAGACATGGCTTTCAAGAATTTAGCTACCACCCAGTAATCTTGCAGAAATAACTTCCTTGCTAATGAGAACAGTGGCCATCCTTGCCACAATGTACCTAATGTCTGGACAGCAGAAGACCAAGGAATAATTGTGTCAAAATGTGGAGATTGGATTTCTTTCCAGATTTTCCTTGCCCACAGCCTGGGGCCTTTGCATTCAGGCTTAAATGGAATCAGGAATCTTTCTTTTCCATCTCATCACTTCCCTGGCCTCTAGATTTATAGTCCTACAGCAGAAAGCAGAAAGTAAGTTCTGGTTCATTTGATATGTATGTATCAAATGAATACATTTATATGATTTTTTTTTTCTTTATGTTGAAAAGTATCTTTTCCACTCACACCCCGTGGTCATGGTCATTCTGGGTCCCAGCTCTGCATTGTAGCTCCTGTCGCTCTTTCCTTGCATCACAGGTATCTGTCTCCTTGGAAGTTCTTTTTAAAATGCTACCTTGTGGTGTTCCCTCTCTGGCTGTTTGTCCCATCTCCTTCTGAACGGATGCTGCTCCAAGGTCACTGCTTCTCTGCTCTGTACGGGAGGAATGGACGGGGCACCTAACGAACCCCTGGTGTTATGTTGACTGAGACCTTCAGCCTTATTGAGGAAAAGACACTGGTTTCATTCTCTGAAGAGACCTAGCTGTTGAAGCCCTTTTCCTTTCAGATCCATTTGTCTTTGCTCTCCTGTCATGGTACAGAGAGAAAGGCGGATGACGTGTGCTCACCTCTGCCGTCTCACTGATTCACACGACAGAAGGCTCCAGGACGTAACATTGTAGCTCTACTGCCCAGCGCAGTGCCTGGAACTTGGTGGTGCTCAATAAGTGTTGATTGAATAAATGACAGTGACTGAGAAATAAGACCTAGAGAGGTGAATTAAAGTTCCCACATTTATCAGGTAGTACTGTACATAAATGGACTAGGATCTCCCTCAGGTGTGATTTCAGAGTCTGTACTTTTAACCACTGTTATAAATGAACTTGTGGCTCTCAGCTGCACTGTATTTGTCAGCAAAATAGAAACGACATATAGTGTTAACAACTAATAAATCAATATTACAGATATTGAGGGACAGAATAGGTAAATGGCACAGGAAGCAGTCACCATCCCTAGGGTTGGGAGAGCAGAAGGAAGAAATTGGGGTTATAGGCTGGAAGTTCAAGGAGGACCCTGAGGAGCTGGAACTCAGACCCCTAGAGAGGGCGCTGTTCTGTCGGTGCTGTCAGGAGGTGTGATGAAGCTGCTTCTGGGTGTGTGAAGTAAAGCTGGGAACTGGAGCAAACCTCTGCTGCTAGTGGGGCTCTGCTGACAGGAACCAGAAAAAGCCAGGCCCTTCTAGGTCCCTCAGCCTCTCAGGCTCCCTCTAGCACCCCCTACTGGTGTAACAGGGAGCCTGGTGGCCAAGGAGAAATGTGTTTGCAGAGTCCCAGCCCCAGCATCACTACTGCCTAGCACAGTGCCTGGAACTTAGTAGGTGCTCAATAAATGTTAATTGAATAGAAGTGAATTTAGATGGATGGATGTGTAACTGAGAGACGAATGTAGCAGAAACACACATTTTGGAAAACATCCCTATTTTTGTATTCCCAGTGGACTTTTTCTTGAGATAATGGGTCTGTTTCTTATTTCTTTTGGGATATAGAATCCTAACTAACCTGAATCTCCAAGGTGAACTTGAAATACTAGAACAAATGTCAGGCTAATAGTGAGTTTTCATAGGACAGTTGATGCTGTCATATACTGGAATTGATAGATACGAACTCATGGGAAAGCCAGGCCCTCTGATCCAATGCTAAAATCAATTAGTATTGCCACTTAATTATCAGCAAGTCAGACAGATGAACATACCAAACAGGATGTTGATGGACAGAACTAATTTAACTGGAAATGAAACCTGGTTGTAATGAATATCTAGGGCTCTCAGCCTCAGGGCTTCCTGTCCCCTCTCAGTGGCTTGCCTCCTTCACTCACCCTGTCTTCTGGTGGAGGTTCTTGGTGATGGGGAGTCTGGATATCTGCTGGCAGAAAGGATCTTACTTGACTTTTTTTTAATGGTGGACAACTTCTGATTGTATTCCTGAAAGTCACTGCGTTCTGCCTGGCCCTGCCCTGTGAAGGCCCTGGTGTGACTGGTGGCTGGAAGTCACACTGTTGTGTGCTTTGTACGCTTAACCCATGGCACCAGGCCACACGCAGACTGTGACTACCCTCAGGACTTCAACTCCGAGGGTGAAGACAAAATCTGCCTGCATAAGAAGCTCCATTATTTGGGGTCAGTAAGGATAGGAAGAGTGAAGTTTCAAAATGCAGACCTACCTAGCACCTTGTCAGTCCCCCTACACTTCGTGTGTCCCCTCAGGCTGCTGTCCAGTGGCCTGCCGCACGCATCACGGTGCTTTCCAAATCCTGTCTCCGCCTTTTCGGACTTAACGATGCTTTGGTGACGTTTTTATTGCCAGCAAACCAAGTGCCCACCACACTTGGCCCTTGGTGACTCCAGGTCTCTCAGCCTCAGGGCTTCCTGTCCCCTCTCAGTGGCTTGCCTCCTTCACTCACCCTGTCTTCTGGTGGAGGTTCTTGGTTCTGGGTGAAGAGCCTTTACTGGAAAGCCCTTCGATGCCTGAGAGCCCAGAAGAAGGGGAAGCAGTGAAGATGGGGGCTGTGCTGTGGACATCCGAGTGTTGGCAGTCACATGGGACTCATTACTGACATCTCTGATTATTTCCTGTGTGGCCTTGGATAAATCACTTGGTTTATTTAAACCTGTTTTTTCCTCCATATGGCACAGAATTTATTTGTCTCAGTGGAGTTGTTATAATGATTAAAAATTCTTCACCTACTTTATATGACTTGATCTTCTAAATGCTGTATGTGCTAGGTGTTATAACCTGCATTTTAATTTTTTGTTACTTGTTATTTAAATTTTTATTTTTCAGTTACAGTAGTGATTAGACATGTAACTTGCAAAGTGATCACCCTGATAACTCTTGTACCCATCTGGAACCAGCATTTCATTTCCTTTTATTTTATTTTTATTTATTTATTTAATTTATATCCTCACCCGAGGACATTTTTGCATTTATCTTCAGATAGAACAGGAGGGAGAAAGGGAGGAAGAGAGAGAAAGGGAAACATCGACGTGAGAGAGACACATTGAGTGCTTGCCACCCACACAACCCCAACCGGGTCGGGGACAAACTGCAACCGAGGTACATGCCCTTAGCGGACACCGAACCCAGGACTCTCTGGTCCGCAGGCCGACACTCTAGCCACTGAGCCAAACAGGCCAGGGCTGGAACCAGCATTTTAATAATGAAAAAACTGAACAGAGCTCAGAGTGGTCAAGGGATTGGTCCAGAGTCACATGGTGAGCAGGTAGCAGAGAGGAGGTCGAAGCTTCAGGCCCGGGGTTGTTCCCCTGGGCCCACACGGACCCAGCTGGTGTGCTGAGGGCAGCATGTGCCTGGGGGTGTTTCCTCCTCTCTGTGGAGGAGACGGTGTGTTTGTAAACATGGGGAGGAATCCAGTGGGTGTCTCTTCCTTCAGACTATGAGGTATAAGCCATCATTGTCTAATACAAGCCTTCACCTTCTTTTCCTGCCTCTCTGAAACTCCTCTGCCCATATTGTAACCCCTCCCTTTTCTGGAATTTAGGGCTTAGGAGCGATGTTAGTATCAGAGAAAGGAAAGAACAAAGGAAAAAGAGAAAATTCAGAGTCACCTCAAGGTGAAATGTGTTTAAACCAAATTATGTGTTATCCCAGCATTGAGTCTAACTTGTAGTAGATGTTCATTAAGTGTTAAGATTCCATCCCCTCCTTTAAAGAAGAGCTATTATTAAAGTTTTATTTTGAAAAATTTAAAGATTTCAACCAAAGATTTTTGTAGTCATATGCGAATTGTATATAATTAAAATGTCAGGTCTTTCCTTATAACTACATTGATTTCTTACCTAAGAGTTTGATTCTCAAAAAGTGAGTCACGGGCTTGCTGGAAGGTAA